CCCTTGGAAGGGTTGAAGGTTTTTGACACGGAGCAGAGGGTTCTGAAGTTGGTTTGTGCCTTGGTTTCGAAGTGTTAGTTCAGGTCTCAGATATACAGGGGACTGTGTGATAGTTATTCTGGCATTTACTGTATACAGCCTGTCAGTCTTAAAATGAGCAAAGACCTCTGAGAGGTGAGCTCTCCTACTTTAATCTCCCCCAAGCCAAGCCTCAGCATTTCCTTCCAATTAAGCAAAAATAATGGGGAATGGTGTCCCTGAATATTCAAATTGGATTGGGGCCAAAAGGCCAGAGGCTACCAGAAGAAGCTACTAAAAAAAAAAAAAAAAAAAAGTGGTAGAACATTTGGGACTTATTTGGCATCAGGTTGATATGGCTTTTTTCTGGTTTGGCCAAGGTTGTTTTAGTTAGGCCACTCCCCCAAACCTCCCACCATTCTCCTTCCTGAACTGTCTGACCATCATGTCCTGATGTGAGTTCTTGGGAAGGCCAACTCCTAGCAGCCTTCCTACCTTTTCCTTATCCTCACTTCCTCAAGGATGTGCCTTAGAAGAGAAAAGAAGACAAGTTATTTTCCCCAAAAGGGCAAAGGTAGAAAAGTCATTTTGGGGCACAAAGTTAATAGGAGATATAAGGAAGCTACAGTTCTAATTCCTGTAATACACTGCTGTATATTTAATATACCACCTTGATTTGTGGCCTCAAGTTAAAATAACTTCATAAGTTTAGAGCATCACTCTTTTATAATCATGTTAGCTTCAAAGGGAGACCATTTGTATTAGTTTCCATAATTGAGACTGCTAAATGCCTGTTTTCGTTCACTGCATATTATGGTTTTAGGTAGCAGACATGAATCTTCTGATACATAGCTGGTCTCTTTAATTCTGATTGCTTTGTGAAGAAACTGAGTCTTTCCATTTTTCTGCTCAGTGGAAGTCACCTTGAGAGCAGGGTAGTGGTGACTGTTCTTGCCAGTTTTTAATAAGTGGCTTGCAAGACTGATTCCCCACAGAGCTATTTTATGAGTATTTCCCTCTGGGTGCAGATTGTAGGAAAGTAAATGCAATGCATTTTAGAATAGTCATTTTGCTCTAATAATTAGTATCATAGTACAGTGTGTGGTCGGCTGCCTGTTAAGGTGAAGATATCTATGTATAATATAGGTTTTCTTATATTGTTCAAATTCCTAGATTTGAGCAAAAGTTACCTCTTAAAAGAAAAATACCTATGATGTTAATAAAGCATTGTTCTTTTTCTTATCACTAAAACTTGTCCCACTATTTATTCATTCATTTTACACATATTTATTCAATATCTACCGTGTGCTGATGTTACAGAAGTCAAGGTGTGACCTTAGTCCTCAACCCAACAGTTTTCAGATTATGTTGAAAGCTGAATGGACACCCAATAAATAATGCATGTTCCTTATGATGTGCTTAGTCAAACTTTGGAGATAAGATCACTTCTAGAGATTTCATTTCTTTCACTTTGAAAAATAAAGCATAAACATTGCAGATAAACCAACTGAGTATGACAAAATTTTTTTCTAGATAAATGTACGAACCATGGGATTAGATGGATGGAAGAAATGTTCATTAGGCTGTACTTTTATCAAGTTGCATGACTGACAAATTAATATCTTTGGATGTCAGTATTCTCTTCTATAAAATGGGGCACAGGCTGTTACGAAGATTAAGAAAAGATGTGTAAAGTCAGGGCCATTGCAGTTGCTCAATAAACAATAGTGATTTTTACAGGCTGTAGATTGCTATAGGAGGTAGAAAAGAATTTCATGTACACACTCTAGTCCTTTAAACATGAATGAAGAAGAAGAATCACCTGTAAATATGTGATTGAAGTTGATAACTGTTATCATACTATGAGTAGAAGTTAGTTCTTTTCTGGAGGGTAATTTCATTACAGAGATATTACTCTGAAGAGGTAACATGCTAAATGAAATCATCAGTGGTCTGAAAGTGTTAACAAGGTTCTGGGAAAGGAGCCATGTACTCCCTCCAGTTTCAACATAAAGTGTAATGCACACATGTACTTAATAGACTGTTAAGAGCCACTGCTAGTTTCCTGGGGCATAAGCAAGCTAAGCTATTCTCATGCCATTTTTGTTATCTCCCAACTTTTCATCTCCAGCCCAAGTCTTGTCAGAATGACTTAATCCTGAGTCAAGCTCACTGCATTGCTTGCTCTATATCAAATGCTTCCTTCGCTCCCCTGGTCCCACTATTATATTGATAAAAAGGAAGTCTATCCAGTACTGTTCCGAACAAGTTAAATTAGAAGACAAAGGAATGACCCTAAACATGAAATGTTTAACACAACAAAATGTTTAATTTTGATTGACGACATTGAAAACAATGACCAGAGACAAGGCAGCAGTATGTTTTTAGTTGGATTGTAGATACCAATAATCCAGGATTCCAGGAGGAAGTGATGGTGGAGCTGAAGACACTAGGTGGCATGACGAAAATCTGAGACTTTGTACTATTTTTCTGATTCAATTTTTAAAATTCTCAGTGATTTTACTAATGGTAAGACCCCCAAGGTAGAGTATACCTTTTACACTATTGATTCTACTTTGAAAGAAATGCGGTAAATTAAAATATCTATTATTTTGGCTATAAAGTCATGTTTAAGATCATTAGTCTCTCTTCCAATTTATCCTACCTGGCATCATACTGATTGATTCCAATAACAAAATAAAATTGTCAATTTAGTTGACTACCAACCATGCTAATGACTTATAAAGAAATTGTTCAAATGTACTTATTCCCTAAGTACTAAGCGTGAAGAAAAATTGAATAGACATAGATAATGTAAATTCAGGGTTGCTGAGTATCCCATGTTCACAAGCAGAAACTGTAACCTATATTTCATTGAGCCACTTCACATTCCTAAAAATGTACAGAAATGACCTGATATCATCTTAATTATAAAAGAAAGGGAGGATAATGTGAGACAGATGCCAGGAAACTAGACCCAGGTACCATGAACACAGAAGCATCATGGAATTCATCAGTCCCATTGCTGCCCCAGAACTGGTCCTCTTTCCCATTAATGTAACCCAGCTAGCAGCCATGTTAACTTCTCTCTGTCAAAATCAATGAGTTAAATGGAAATTTCTTCATTTCAAAAGATTCAGAATATCATTTCCATTTAAAGTATTGCAAAATAAGGTTTGCATTAGGGCAGTAGATTAAAAACACATGGGGGTATTTTCAGAGGTATATGATAGATGAAAATATAAGAGATCACTTAGAATTATTTTTTTAGTATTTCCTAGAGCACTTTGGTTCATTTAGATTGAAATATCTGTCAGAAGCTATGTCCCAGTTCGATTGATCTCAACATTAAAATGTCTCTACATTATTCTCCCTCATCTTTCGCCTTCAAGCTTGATAGCTATAATTAGCATTGTGCTCCTTGGTCGGGGCAGAAGACCAAGCGAAATCTCAAAACCGTTAAGACATCTTTCCCCATTTTCCACTGTCTTAAGGGAAATATGCATTTTTCCCTCTCCTATTATCTTTTTTTAAAAACCCAAACAAAAAACTCTGAATACAAATTATTCCTTTCAATTCATCATTTTGTGTCATTTCAAAGGAGTACTTGTTATAGCAATAATCCAAACAGATTGGAAGAATGCTATGTAGATTTCAGCTCCAACATGGAATATCTTAGTGCTTTTCAATTGCTTCAGGGAGCTTGTGACAATAAAATTTTTTTACATCTAACACCATTTTGAACTCTTTCTTGCCTATATTCTGATAAGTAATTTATCCTGGCATAGGTTTATCTCTGTTGATAATGGGCTTTGTGGCTACAGGGAAATGTTGATACAATGAGCAAGCATCTATCATGTTGACACTTGCTCTTTAGCAGGTATAGAGGATAATGGGTGTTTGGGGTGCAGCCCTGGACGAGAATGTTAATAATCAGTGTGCATGGACCTAGTGTGGAGGTGTCCCTGTTTTTGTGCTATCATTCTTTCTTCCGTTTCTCATTTCTTTTCATTTTTCTTCAACAGTGTCTGATTTGTTGCTTCAATTCCCTTCATTTATTTCCATTTATTACTCTTTTTGCTGTCTTACATAATTCTGGATGAAATTATGATGTGCCTTAAAATATCCTCCCTTCTGTCTTTGATTATTTTAAATGGTTCTAAAGACCCCACCGGACATGCAGTGATAATGGTTTAGGCTCTGATGAATCAGAAATAGAAGTCTTATACCATTCATAAGGGTGATACAAAAATGTTACTCCTTATCCCTAAAATTCCAAAGGTTTGTTTATTCTTAATTCAATTATAGGTATTGGATGATTCTCATGTATCTGGGAATTAGTTAACTTATTTGTCACTTAAAGGCAAATAATTTCACACTTTGATCTTTGAAAGGGATGAATCTATAATGCACAGGTAGAAGGAATAGGAGTCCAGTCACACATGTAGGAAATCAAATGCAATGAACCTAAACTAAACCAAAGGATGAAAAATTAATAGCTTGGCAGTAAATTTGGAAATACACAATAATATTCCATTTTCAGTGAATCAGTCAGATAAAAAAAGACACTTAGGAAAAATAAGTACAAAGAGAAATCTCAAAAAGCAACTTTTTTACATGTATTCTACAAATTGAGCTCATTATTAGAATAATTGCTTTTTAAATTTATTTTTTTCTTTCAAGTGTTCAAAGATCTTCAGGTACTAAATTGAACCTTTAGCCATTGAACCTTTTAGCTTATATAAATTAGCAGAGACCCTTTCCTTTTATGAGTGAATATTTGTGCCCACTATTCAAAACGCCCCAAAACCAGCACTCTTGGAAAGCATGATGCCGTGGACAAGAGTGCATTTTTCCATGACCTTCGGTGTTAGGCATTTTATTATAAAATCTAAAACAGCCTACATTCTGATTCGCTTTTGGTTTCTTCTCTTAAGCTATTAGCTGAATAGCTCTAGCCTAAAGGCAAAGAAAGAAGATACCATTTTGCTGGTGGAGTTTATTTTGTAGGTGCCTCCATGTGGCTGAGGGTGGATTGGATAGCCGCGAGTCACGAGTTCTGCAGGACAGGACAGTTGATTTTTCTGCTTCCTTTGGCATCTTACTTTCTGGCACTGACCCCACTGCACACAGAAATTAGAGAACAGAGTCAGGAAAAGTATAGCACTTCTGATTGGTCCAGCTCATGGGAAAATAGACGAAAGGACTTGCCTTTGACAGATGCAGATGTTTTTAGTATTTTCTTCCTTACCTCAAACGTATTTAATCTGCTGATACCTTAAATAGAATGTTTTTCTGTTCATCTTCTTTGTATTTACTGTCATCCTACCACAGAGTTTTACCTTTTAAAGCATCTTTCACAGGTATTCTGTTTTAACACAAATAGCACTAATAAAATGAATTTATATAATGTGTTAAGTTGCCTCCAAACTTTCATGGATGTAATCTATGTTTAAATGAGTAAGATATGTCTATGAGAAAGGTCCAGACATGATAGTTTCTGATTACATAGATAAAAATGCGTTAAGATTAACAGGTATTTATTACACATCTGTTATAGTGCAGATACGCTACAAGGCTCTGATAAAAGTCTTTGAGAAGGAGTCAGACAAGGACTGTTGTTTGCAGGAACTCTGTGTGTGAAAGATGCACAAAGCACGATGATTAACATTGAGACAGTTTAGTCCTGGGATTCTTGGGATGAGAACCAGAGCATTCATAAATTACTTGCATGTAGGTCCTTCTAATTTATACCCCAGTTGGCTTTCTGCACCTCCTTTCCTTCCTAGCACAATAATTTTTGGCATCTCATCTCGTTTACATGAGCTTGCTGCTCTTTATTCATTGCTTATAACAATATATGATTCTCAAGAAGTCCAAAGAACTACAGTTTTTTTTTTTTTAATTATTCTCCATTCAGAGAGAAAACACGTGCATGATTCAGGGAAGGCGTCATGAACGAAGATGTGCACCTGCTGGAATGCACTCTCCAAGAGACATTTGATGACAGTCATGTGTAATTTTAACTTTTCTGGTAGTAATCTTAAAAATATAAAAGAAATAGGGGCCGGCGCTGTGGCTCACTTGGTTAATCCTCCACCTATGGCACCAGCATCCCATATGGGTGCCGGGTTCTAGTCCTGGTTGCTCCTCTTCCAGTCCAGCTCTCTGCTGTGGCCCAGGAAGGTGTTGGAGGATGGCCCAAGTGCTTGGGCTCCTGCACCTCATGGGAGACCAGGAGGAAGCTCCTGGCTCCTGGCTTCAGATGGGTGCAGTGCCGGCCTTGGCAGCCATTTGGGGGGTGAACTAATGGAAGGAAGACCTTTCTCTCTCCCTCACTGTCTAATCTATCTGTCAAATAAATTAAAATAAATAAATAAATAATTTTTTTCATCACTGAATCTGTAAGTTCTTAGCGTCAAAAGTCTCCATTAATTAAAATTAAGTAAACATAGAAACTCAGGTCTTTGGTCTAGTAAGCCACATTTCGTACGACTGTTGAATGATCACCATATTGAGCAGTGTGGGGCTAGAAGCCTTGCAGACTGAAGTATGGAAGTGCGTTTCCAGCCTTCATGTCTTAGTCCTATTTTTTTTGTGTTTTTAAGTTTTGTCTGCTTATCTGATGGAGGAAATGATGGATAGCTTACCCAGAGCCTAGGGTAAGAACTCAGATTTCCCTAATTCTGGTTTAGAGCCCTGGTCTGCAATATCACATTGGGTTAACAACAGTGCAGTGCAGGAAGAACCAATCAGAGCTGACATTGATTGTGCACTTAATTCACATCAGATACCATACTAGAGATAATAATGTCGCATTGTTTTTATTTCTTTTAAATAACCTTGCACATGTTCTACATTTTGCATTTTACAAGTTAAGGTATTGGGAATCAGTTCAGTTTAATAACTTCAGCAGGTCATTGAACTAGTGGGGGTAGGCCTTGAGTTTAAGAAAGTGCATGCTGAGGTTAGATTTAAAGGTTGACACCTCACTGAGAGGTGAGAGAGGTAATCCCAGAGGGATGTGCCCATTTTTATGTTTATTCAAGGATGTGCAAATCTGTGTTCTGGAGTGAGCCCTTCATTTGACTCATGAAGCTCCTGAAACATATGTTGGATGTAGTACAAATTAAAAGATTAGGGCTCTTGTAAGTTCCCATCACCATTGGAGCATTATTATCTCAACTCTTATGGGGCTTGCTGGGCTATAGACCTTGGTAATAAAAGGACACACTGAGAACAGTGTTCCTATGGGGGTCAGAATGAAGGAATGTATGCTATTTTTTTTTCAAATTCCCCAGTTTAAGAATTTGAGTGACCACATGCCAAAATTAGTTACAAAGAAATTAAGAGGATTGGGACAGAGCACTTTATGGCTTTACTACTTCTTAATACCTGAAATGGATTTATATTAATCCCACAACCATTTATTAAGTACCTACTCTGTGGCATGGTTGGTGCTAAATGTTGAGGCTATAGATTATATTTTAATGACACAGACTGTTTAAAGGAAAATCTTTCTTATTTTTGCTGTAAGAAACTGTACTCTGTTTAAGTGCCATCCTTTGACAAAATACACGAGTTTGAGTGGCTTTTGTTTGGTTGGTTGGTTTTGGTTTTGGGGTCATACTGAAGGAATACTCTGCATAACTTCATTGCAATTCTTGGCTGATCAAAGGGTAATAAGTTAATTTGTAGCCCCTCCATCTGTGCTACCTTCTGAACTGTGCTTTATATGTTTGCTCCTCTACTAGGAGATTCACAAGAGAAATAATAGTAACAGAAGACCTCATAACTTCTCACTCCAGAATTTAGACGAGAAATAGAAAGTTTTGATTTAAAACAGCAAATGACTCTATGTGAAAATTCTAACCACTCATTTCATTTCATTCCTATGTCTCATTAGTGAATTTTCTCAGATGAAATTGCTTCTCAATATATCAGTTCTCTATCAGGAAACTTAGTAGAGTCACATTCAAGCCTGTTGGTTTGAAAAATAGTCTGTACCACTGGGCAATACAGTCATGGAGTTGGGAAACCAATAATAATGCGGTAAAAAACATGCAAGCAAAGGGAAAAAGAGTTGTTTTGAAAATGATAATTCAAAACATGGCTAATGATGATGAGGTAGTGTGATTCTGTAAGAAATTTCAGAAAAAAAGTAGGATATGAGCAAGAGAAGATAGAAGGGAACAAGCCTAGAGGAAAGGTCAGACCAATCCGGAGGAGGTGGATTGCTGGGAGAGACAGTAGATGTTTTACAAGTAGAGTACTTGATGGATACTTTAGCTCATTATATATTGGCTTCTGTGTCAAGGAAATCACAGTTCCTAATTGCATAATTTTATAGAAAAATGATTGGTAATGACTTTACTGTTGTGAAGAACTTGAAGAAGTCCATAAAATGCCCAAGATATATAACAAATTTTCTATTATGAGTGCCACCTAGATTTAGGTATTTACAAGAAGAGTATCAGAAATTTGACCACCAGTGGATAGAAAGTTGGAAACTGAGAAGTAGTACCAGTGAGGAAATGAATGACAATCTTGTAAGGACAGTCAGTTGGAAAGGGAGTAGAACTCCTCCTACTTATCAGGAGGAATAGCCTCTACAGAAGAGGTGATTTAGCTCAAGATAGGAAAATGCTGTTTCTGGCTTGGCCACTAAATGAATTTCCCATGTTTTGCCTATGTTATCTTACTTAACTTCTGTGTGCTTTTGGACCTTTCATTGCCTGATCATATTAATGTGATACATCATAAGCATTCACAATGTTGAAAGAATTTTATATGGAACAGTAGAACTGAAAGAGATCAGTTCTCCTGCCTTTCTGCCCTTAAACTTCAATTTACACAAGGTTCATAATTTTGATTAAAGAGATTTTGCCAATATCCTACTTAAGTCCTATAGCAGTTGAGGAATTGGCTAATATCCTTCTTAAGTTCTGTAGCGATTTGGGGCCATGTATTCTTTTAATGGTATGGTAACAGTTGGAACTGAGACAGTGTTCCTGGCTTGTTGTAAAATCATAGGCAGATGTTGACCTGCCATTTTCCCTTTTGCAATTATTTCTGATCTTTCTCAAATGAATTAGTTGCTTGATAGTCTCTGTATTGTTTAATTTTTCCAGTCTTTTGAAAACGGAAGGATTGAGCCAGACCAAAGCACTTCAGTGATACCATGACTAATCTCAAAGACAGAGAGGATGGTTGATAATGCACCCCAGTGACTATCAGTTGGGAATAGTGACACTGCATTGCTGACTCGCAGTTAACTCATGGGTCATTCTGCTACCCCTACCCTGTTTAGATTTCAGTACACTTTCCACATCTTGAGCTTATGTGTTCATTTATATCCAGAAAGTTTCTTGGTCCTCATAATCACCATATGATATTTAGTTATTTTACCTAACTTGAGGTTAATCAGACAGACCAAGAAAATATGAAGTAAGAAAAACCTGTCTTTTGCTTGAAGTGGTCCTCATTTCCGTCTCCACTCTCTGAAGTGGAAGAATCATTTCAATTTGTCAAATTACAATGAGGCAGACGCTGTGTCAGTACTTTACGTACAGTTATATTTAATCCTTTCAAGAATAAGCTATTAAAAGTCTCTTGTTTTGCAGAACAGATTGAGATTGATATGAAATGATTTGTCCAGGAAGATATGCTGGGGTATTTGATTCCAGACTTCCTGCTTTTCACCACTAGATGCCAATTTGGGTCTCCCTTTAGCTTCCTGTGCATACACAAGTGGATTGGCTCCAGGACAAGCTGGGGCTACCAAAGTCCATGGATGCTCAAATTCCTTGTATAAACTGTCATAGTAGAATTTGCATTTAACCTATGTGTATCTTCCTATGTACCTTAGATCATCTCTAGATTACTTGAAGTATTTAATACAATGTAAATGCTTTGTTTATAGCTGTGACCTGTTTTGTTCAAGAAATAATGACAAGAAAAAAGTCTGTACATGTTCCATACAAATTTTTCTGAGTATATTTGATCTGCAGTTGCTTGAAATTGCAGACACAAATGTCATAGACATGGGGTGCTTACTATAGTAATTATAAAAACAGCTAACGTTTTCCTAAGTTCTGTGCTAGATACTTTACGTACTTTAATCTTTGCAACTATCCTACAAAATAGGTGGTATTCTATTTTATAGATGCAAAACCTGAGATTCTGAGAACTTAAATAACTTTCTCAAATTTATACAGGGAAGTAGAAATTGTTTCAACTAATGAGGCCTAGTGTTGTTTCTCTCATGTTATGTGAGAAAAATGTCACAGTTAAATAAACGTTTTCCTAGCTGCTCCAGATATCATTAAGCAGTAAAGAAAAACTATGGAGGCTCAGGTGGGCTCTGCTGTTAGTTCTGAAGACACACAGCTGGTGGTGACATAGTGCATGCACTCAAGAAGCATGCATTGTCCATGTTTTCTCCCTACCCCTTCATCATAGGTTCATGAGGTCTAAATGGCCTAGATACAACATTTTGCTTTGAGATGCAGAGTGAAAGGAGAGAAAGTGAGAGTAAGAGGCTGTACAATTCCAGCTTTTGGCTTCTGTCAGACACCGGTGGGCTGTTTCTTTAGGTGGGTCTTTAGAAATGAACATGTGGGTAAAATACATTTTTGAGTATAGAACTTGTCCTCCTAATCTGCTTAATTAGTAAAAATGTAAATGGCAATCAAATAATTTTTTATATCTGATAGGTATAATGAATATCCTATTTTTTGGAGAGAAGATAGATGAATGTTATTTAAGTCAATACCTAGATTTGAGCTTTATCTAATCTAGGGGGAAATGTTCTCCCTTAGTTTTATCAGGTATGATATTTAATAGATCAATGCAGTAAAGCAAATCCCACACTTCACAGGTTCTGTGAATTTTTTTTCTGGATGGCATAAAATCTCTCAGTGATCAGTGTGGACTGTTGTCTAGCTGTGAACATATTTGTTTATGGAGAAGTCTGAGCTGTTGTTGTAATAGTAATGTTCATTTATTTGAGGAAAAATAAAACATAAAACACACAACAGTGTCATCTTTGACATATACACAAGTTTGATCCAACTTGAAATAGGGAAAAAATAATGGGAATTTAAATTGGATACTTGTAAGTTAAACTCTTTAGAATAAATTTTAAATGAAAAAATTACCTTTCCTTCTAAAGAAATTTATTTATTTATTTTTTATTTGAAAGATGATAGGGAGAAAGAGAGAGAGAAATTATCCTGCAACTGCTGATTGTCTCCCTGAATGGCAGAAACTTTCAGGACTGAGTCAAGCTGAAGCCAGGAGCCTGGAACCCCCATCCAGGTCTCCCATGTGGGTGACAGGGGCCCAAGCCCTTGAGACATCTTCCACTGCTTTCCCAAGCATATTGGCAGGGAGCTGCACCAGAAGCAGAGAAGCTGAGACTTGAACTAGTGCATGATACGAGATGTTGGTATTGCAAGCAGAGGCTTATTCCCCTGTGCCAAAGTGCTGGCCCCATCTCCTTTTCTTAAATCTGTAAATTTAATATTCTGAGTCATCCCAAATTACTTTCAACAAACTTTCCACCCATGAAGAGGATGTTCTTCCTGAACTCTTACTTGTCATGCTCATTCTCATACAGATAAATACCTACATTTTCTTAAATGCAGTGGTTACTGCTGGGATATGCACCTTCTAAGCAAAGACACATATTCTTACAGTTCAAAAAATACCAGTGAAGTGTGTATTATTGCCCTCATTACACAAAGTGCTCATGGAAAACACTCTATCAATTCTGATTATGTTCTAGAAAAAAATTTTAAAAGAAATAGAATGAAAAGCAGCCCCAGAACGTTTGACTGGGCTGGTTATAACTGCTGAACAATATGTAATTTTAAGAAATGTGGCAAAAGGATAAAAATAAACTAAGTTTTTGTTAAAGAAATGAAAACATGGCAATGAAAGATTCCAGAAAACAATTTTACTTTCTCTATTAGTTCTCCATCACTTGATTATTTTACTGTTTCATTTCTATTTACATACCAAGTTGATTTTTTGCATCTGGATTTTGCACAATTCTTTCAATAATATACGGTTCAGTAGCTATAATTACAGGATTGTTAAAGTTCACATTTTACTATTCGTCTTGTTATCTGTAGTAATGGAAGGTTGGAATAAATGCACATAATTACATGGTTGGTCCTAAATTATTTTTATATTGCTCTTGCCAGGATACACTCGAACAGTTGCATTTATTCTCTACAATTTATTTTCAGAAGTAGTGGCTCTAGCAAAAATAATAGTAATAAATACATAAATAGACTGGTCTTGAGGGCTTACTATCTATAGGTTTTTCAAATTAATTCTAATCCATTGATCTCTCTGAGCCTACTGGAGACAGAGGGTGCATGGAGTCTGTGGAAAGACCATGCCATGTTTCAGAATTCTGACAACACAAAAAAATTCTCTCCTAATCTGTTTATTATTTGATCTGTCAATCTACAGACTATCTCAACAACCTACAGATCTGTGGACCAATTTACTATGCAAGGTGTTTAAATAAGTTTGATTTCAGTCTAAAGTGGTACCATGTCATACAAGTAAGATGCATCTTCTTGTTTCATTTATTCTAGAAGTAGCTCAGTTTCCCCACATATGTAACACTCATAACATACTATCATTATCTTAGGTGCATCCGAAACATCAAAGGTTACCTGTGAATCAAGCCTTTATTGAGTGCCTGTGGTGTGCCAAATACTGGGCTACTTACCAAAGTCAGTGTTACCAGATACCATGCAGTCTTCCTGACAACAGATGCATGTGAGATTACTTTACTTTTACGGAAGACCAGAGATTTTTTTTTTTCTTTACCTATGCAGCTAGTCAAGGAAAGAGTTTATATAATCTATCATTATCTCTCTACCAGCTAGTACTTTCAAAGTGTGTGGGTTTTTTTTCCCTTAATCACAAACCCTCAACCACACCCCTACCCCAGTCCCCCTTTTTGTTTTTATAGAACAAAGTTGGGGTTAAATGGTCATTCATTAAATCCACTGCTTTGACTCTGCAGTGAATATGATGCAGAAAACAACATGAGGACTGTGTTCCTAATGCTCAGGCGTGGGTTCTGGCGCTCGGCGCTCTCCTCATAATGTCTCGTGAGCATCCTTGGTTTGTTGTTTGAGACCCTAGAGTTTTACAAAGGAAAGTACCTTCTGGAGAAATATGTATTTGTTTCCTCAGTGGGACATGCACTTGTTACACATCAGTGGGTTTGGAGCCAGTGCCTCACAGCACATCTTTCTCTATAGGGTAGCTGTGTTGTTCTTCAGAGGAAAACTTGCCCTGGAGAGAAATATCACCCAAATAGTAAGATTAGATTGGTTTTCACATTGCCCTATTTTACCACTAAATTCAAATCCCTTAGCAATCTACTCCTCAGTCTTCCTCAGGCATAAAATTTCATTTATAAATGGTTTGTATGCCATTATTTCTCATCAATATGTAAAAACTAAAAGGAATTTTTAAAGTCCGTATGTCATGGCTAGGAGAAAATTTGATTGGATGCAAAATGGGTATTCTGAATGTTTTCCTCATTCCTTACCCATTCTACAGCAAAATGTAGGAACATAGTTGAAATAATTTTTCAGAATTGATTTATTAATTACACATTTGTGTAAATGTGTATAAACTCTTGAAACAATTCCTGTAAGAACTGCTTGTTGCTTCTTTGACCCATTTCTTCCCCAATGTATGTTTTGTGAATATCAAGCAAATGAAGATTTTGTTGGCACAATTTGATTCATTCGTATGAAAATATAGAGTCTATTCCTCACTTCAAACTCTCAACCTCCAATTAATTGGCTGTAAGCTGGTTGCATTTCTGATTCTCTGAGAAGCACAGGAGAGGAAAAAAGAGAGAGAGAGAAGCAAGCTCACAGCTCATTACATGAACTCAAACAGCTCCCTTTGAAGTGAGCCTTGTTTCTAGGTAGGTGAAGTCATCCATGGGGTTGCAAGTATAGGAAACTTCCATACAAGAGTGGGTTTCTTTTACATTTCGTTTTCAAAACTATCAGGCTCAAAGGGTTTTTCTTTCAAAACTATCAAGCTCAAATTTTTAGAAACTGTGTTTAAGAATTGAGTGTGATCCATGCATTAGAGAAAACACATCTTTCCCTACCTTTTTTATTTCTTCCTTTCTTACATGCTTGCTTGCTTAGTTTTTGTTTTGTAAGACAGGGAGTTCTCAAAGTTTTGACATTTCATATTTGTTATCTATACAACTATGATGAATATGGACAGATGGATCTGAAGCGCTTCATTTGGAATGCGTTAGAGCTAGTCTGGATTGATACCCAAGTAGCAAAGATGTTGATAGTGCACAATCCAATTAATCTACCATATTGTTTTTGCAGATGAAAACTACTTAGATACTATCTTTTAGTTTTAGTTACTTTATATTTGTCATATTGAGCTACCAACTCTTCTTTTGTGCTATAAAATTGCTAAGCAGAAGTACTTGAAAATTCCATCGGATGACTGATAAGCTTTGGGTATTGGGCACTTACTCTCTGTCAAACACAGTGATAAGAATTTTCAGAGATGATGTGAATATTTAAAGCAGGATTCCTAACTTCTACAAACATTATACTTATCAAAGGAGAAATAACACCAAAAAATAACTATCTTCATACACCAATTTCAGCTTTCCTGACTGAATACTCTGGTGGCGAATTTTCCCATCAAATTTTGCATAGACTGTATTGAATTTAGTTTTTCTTATGTATACAGTGTGTGTGAAAAAGAAATTTAAGAAAACATAACTTTGGTAAAGATGGGTACAAATGCCATGACATTTTTTCTATTTTTATAGTTTGAAAAACTGATGTGACAAGAGTTATGGGGTGGGCATTATCTCTGAGAAGTCCATTGCGTGGGGTTGTACATCAACAGAAACATGTTGCAGTAGGGCAGTGTCCCTCTGCGAACTCATATTGTGATCCAAGAAACAACTGCTAAATTAATGAACAAATGAGAAAGTAGATTCTGTGAAGCAAAGAGGAGTCACAAAGCAGTGGTAACTCCTACAGCACTGTTTTAGTATGGGATATCAATTTTACAGTTTGAAATGTGGCATTGGTACAATGACTTAGTATGGTGGAAGAGGTTGGTTTGAGTACTGTTACATGAAGTCCAGTGTCAGTCAGAAGAGGTGAAACATTTGTCATAGATTTGACCATTATCCTTTCTGATATAAATTGAATTTTCCGCATTCTGAAAGCAAACCAGATACCCCACAATATACCCACCGTCCTTTGGCTCCTGTGTTCATCCTCAGCACTTGTATCCCCCATTATTCCATTTGCCATGTAAAGAATTTTTCTTTGGCTCCTCTCAAAGAACAAGTGATTGGGCAAATGTTCTCTTGAGAAAAATGTCGATGACTCTGGACACGGGACACATGTAGCTTTCTGTCGTGTACCATTCACCTTGATGTTGGCTCAAGTGCACCTGATAAAGTCTGAGGACTGACTGCCTCTAAAAATCAGTCCTCAGGGATGACTGCCCTCTGATCTCTCCTGCTGGGTGCCTGATTACCAGTGAGAGTCCAGGAAGACAGAGATCTGTCATCAGCTTTCTTCAGGGAAAAGACACAGTGCAGGTAGAAGGCCTGGAAACCAGAGAAGTGTTCCTGTAGCGTTTCCTATGGAGCTCTAGCATGGTACATACCACAGTGGAGTGCCCGTTTGTGCTTGCATTTCAGCTTTCCCTTGAAATTGCAGAATTCACAAAGCAGGAACCATGTCTGATTAATTGTATTGCCAGTTCCTAACAAAGGTTAGTGCGGGTGGCAAGCATTGGACAATTATTATCCATTCATTTTGTTGTATAAATGGGTAATTACAATTAAAGTCTGCATCTCTTGATTATGTAGCCTCGCTCATGGTGAGCCCGCTGACATGCTGAAATTCAAGCCGAAAGAGAGAATAAACAAATGCATGGAAAAGTAGGTGGAAAGGCCAGCCTTCAATCATTTCTTTGACTTCAGAGTTTTTCCTTTGTGGTCTTTTGTTTCGAATTGAGAGCAGGGACCAAAGATACACTTTAGAAAGGGCATTATATTTTCTGCTCACTTCTCTTCCGGCTATAGGTATCTTGTTTTCTTCCTCCTTTACTTAGTTTCAGCTACTAGCTATTCATCTGTAGTCCTCCTTAAGAAAATGTACCTCTGTCTTTCAAGTTTTTCCTAAAAGCTAGAAGTGTTTTTTAGGACAGAATTTTAACCTACTTACAGCAATTTCATCTCTTAAAATCATCTCTGAGCTGAGTGCACTGTAGCCTCTAGAATGATTCTGGTGAATCCTTAGGTACAAGATGGTTTTCGTGTGTGATGGTGTTTTCTGTCAAGTGAAGAAAAGTGGTAGAAGGAAGATCTCCTGCTAAGATGTGTGGGAATGTTAGCATTAGGCCTAAGCTGTATCCTGGATTGTGTTTGTGGAAGTTGAGTGATGAAATTGAATGCTTCTGTGAGGTCGGCGTTCCTGGAATTCTGGCCTTGTTCTACAACAGCTGCTTCCTCAGGAATCATGGCGCAAAATCAGACGCATGGTGCACAACATGTCCGTTTCATGCAAGTGGACAGACATCCTGTTTCTACCTAGAAGGCCTCTTTGTGGTAGTGGAGTGTCTGTCACAGCAACTCAAAGCTGTGACGGCAGGACTAGGGCTTCATGGGGGAGGACTGTTAGGTTGGGAAGTCATGGAAGTGAGTGACTGCCATGCTGATGCAGATTGGGGAGAGTGTAACTGGCTGATTGGCCACTTGCCATTCTATTTCTCCTTAAAATACATATTTTACAATTTCCCGGAGTAAAAGCCCTTTTCTAATACTGATAGTCTATTCCTTTCCATCCTCCGTTGTTATCCCGCTGAACCTGTAGAAACACAGCATCTATAAAGTACGTCCTCTGGGTATAAGGCAGATCTTTAGGTGAGAGTCTTGTGTAGCCCAAAAGAAAAGCATTCCCTGAGGATTTCTGGATGGCCTCTGAAGTGGGACTTTCTGAGCCCCCATAATTTGTTCATTAATGTTTTTCCAGAATGAGCTCATCTGAGGGGCACTGGGTAAGGTCAGGGCCCCTAGATATTACTGCCTACATACTCTGTGATTGTATCAAGGACTTGCCAACATCTTGAGGCAGCTCTTTGCACCTTGAGACTGCGAGGGGAAGAATAAGGGGATCACAATCTTGAACATACAGGGAGGGGAGGCTGGGGGTGCTTGGGTGGTGCTGGCACTGAACTCTCAACTCCGTTTTTGTACCAAGTACGCTCCAAGGTTCTGTTAGGTGCAACCTGATGTTTCAAGGGGGAAAAAAGATTGATAATGAAATTAGATTAGAAATATTCAGGGTAATCAACATGATTATTCATTTTGTGATATTTTGCTGTTTTTTTCACTTGGACCTCTCAGAATTCTGTATATGTTGTTAATATTCTAAGTATTTCCAAGAGGAGGGCTACATAGCATTTCTCAAATTCATTTGAACATGAAATGCCTTTAGGACACGATATCTCTAAAGGCCAGTGTTCCTGGAAAGACTTCATGAGGTGCTGAACTCTGTGATCTCTGAAAAGTCTTGAATTCTCTATTATCATCAGAATAGCTGGCCCCTCCAAGCCTTTGCCCTTCCTCTGCGGGGTTCTCTCTAGCCGCCTTCCAGATTTGTCTTTTGTGCTGCCTTTTCGAAGAGAAAGTGGACCCTGGCTGCCCTGTCAGTACTCCCTGAAAATGGGAAATTGTGTTTTTTCCCTTTCTTTGTACCCTAGAATCTATGCATAATTCATCATTCTCAGTGATAAGGAACTTCCTTACGTAAGCGTCCAAAAGTTTTTGTTTTGTCATTTTTTGTAAGGTAATTTTACAACATCCAGATAAATAATTACAAAATAAGAATATGGTAAGCTTTCAGGATTCCTCTAACATTCACTGTGATCAAATAATGATGTGAGGCAGGTGTTTAGCCTAGTGCTTGAGATCCTAGTTAAATTCCCATTCTAGACTGCCCAGGTGTGATACCGACTCCAACTTCTGACTTCAGCTTTCTGCTGATGTGGGACCTGGGAGGCAGCAGTGAGGCCTCAAATAATTGGGCTGCTGCCCTCCACGTGGGAGACCTGGAATCAGCTCCTAGACTTGCACTGAGTTCCCAGCTATTCTCTTTGTCCCAGTCCTTGAGACAGTTGGGGAGTTGGCCAGGGAAACGGAGCTCTCTTTTTGCCTGTCTCTCTCTGTGTTTATGTTTCTCTGTCTCTGAAATAAAATGGACACAGATTAAAACAAATAATGATATATCATTACATGAAATGTCAGGAAAACTGTAAGGACATTAGAAAATTGACAACTGGCAAACTGTGTATCCATAAGGATTTGAGGTTCACATGCCACATCCACATATAAGATAATTGAGCTTCCTGTGATTTATGCTTCAGAACCCAACCTCCAAGTTATCATCAATCTAGATATCATGAGCCACTGTACTCTAAAGTAGCATCTTCTAGGCCTTGGTTATTTATTCTGTAATATTTGATCAATAGTAATGGATTAGAGTCTTGGCTTCATCACATTTCAAACTGTCTGACTTCTCTGTGCCTCAGTTTCATTCTCAGTAAAATGGCACAGAGGAGTCCTTTTCATTGAGTTATGAGGTTTAAAAGAATGAATACAAGTAAAGCATACAGAGCATCCTTGGCACAGAATAGACTCTTCAGAAATGTTAGCTTTTGTTGTTATTGCCATACATACATACAATACCTCGGAAAGGAGATAAGATAAAGGGACCAGGGAGTGGAAGACAGATATGAGCATATAGAGTTATTTTTTCTTTTTTTTTTTAAATTTATTTGACAGAGTTAGTGAGAGAGAGAGAGAGAGAGAAAGGTCTTCCTTCCATTGGTTCACCCCCCAAATGGGCACAATGGCCGGAACTACACCGGTCCAAAGCCATGAGCCAGGTGCTTCCTCCTGGTTTCCCATGTGAGTGCAGGGGCCCAAGCACTTGGGCCATCCTCCACTGCCTTCCCGGGCCACAGCAGAGAGCCGGACTGGAAGAGGAGCAACCGGAACCAGAACCTGGTGCCCGTATGGGATGCTGGCCCTGCAGGCGGAAGATTAACCAAGTGAGCCATGGCGGCGGCCCTAGAGTTATTTTTCCTTCAATATCATTGTATGGTATTCTGCATTTAATAATCACATATGTATTTTTCTGAGTAAAATGAAATAAAATCAGTATCAATAGCTCTACATTATGAGGGAAGATTTGAGGTTCTAACTTTTTGGGTCACTATACTGATTCATGCAGACAAAAGAAAGTAAAATGAGAATTTGATCCAGAGGTTTAAACTCCAGAAACCGTGTTTTTTCTGTTCTAGTGTCTAATGAGTCATTTGAGAGACAAGGAACAGGAACCAGGTTTGTGGATTGGGTGAATAAGGTTGGTATTGGACACTTCTAAAAACTGTGAACAATACAAAACTCTTTCCTTAAATTCTGTAGGTATTGTCACTGCTCTTTCTCTGTTTTTTTTTTTTTTTCATTTCTAATATATGTCAACATCCATTCCCAGTCCTACACTTCCAATTTGTACCTCAGCAGATGGCAGAATGGAAGTGTTAAGGGAAACTGCTGAGGCATCAGGAAATAGAAGTAGACGTCAGCATATGTTTGATTGGTACCCAGCCCTCCTATACCTTTCATTTGCTTTGAATATGTTAAAAAAATATTTATTGATTGATTGATTTGAAAGGCGGAGTTACAGAGACGGAGAGACAAGGGGAGAGACAGAGAAAGAAGGAGAGACAGAGAGAGAGAGAGGGAGAGAGAAAGAGTTCTTCCATCCCCAAATGGCCACAACAGCCAGAGCTGGGCCAGGCAGAAGCCAGGAGCCTCATCTAGGTCTCTCACATGAGTGCAGGGGCCCAGTCACTTGGGCCATCCTCCACTGCTTTCTCAGGCACATTAGCAATGAGCTGGATGAGAAGTGGAATAGACAGCACTCAAACTGGCACCCATATGGGATGCTGGTGCTGCAGGAATGACAGTGCTGGCCTCTGCTTTGAACATTAAGCCCCCATTTTATTTGTCTTTTTTTTTTTTTTACTTTGTTAATATATATAAAGACACACACACACACTCACACACACACGCACACACACATGTAGCCTGTATGTACATTCCTTCACTCCTCCAATGCCTGCAGTTACTGAGATGGGCTGGCTCTAGGGATGAAGTCAGGATCCAGGAGTGCTGTGCAGATTGCCCACGTGGGTGGCAGCAACCCACTTACTTGAGCCAGTATTACTGTCTCCCAGGGTCTGCATTAGCAGGAAGCTGACGTCAGGAGCCTGAGCAGGGTTTCAAACCCAGGCACTCTAATGTGGGATGTGGGCGTCTAAAACAGCATCTCAGCTGCTAGGCTAACTTCCCACCCTATTTGTCCTTTTATTCTGATGAAATGGATTTGCATTGCTTCTTGGCCTTTTGGCTAAGATCAAGTGTGAAATGGATTTGCAAATTTTTGAGTGAGCCTCCTCTCTCTCAGACAAAAGATATAATTGTACTATGAATCCATCATGTGTCCCAAGGAGGCAAACTCAATATTTATCTCTAAAGTGCCTTTCATTCATTTCTTTTCATATAAGAAACAAAATTGGCAACTTCTTTTTTCCACAGCTTGTTCATTCCAAGAAACTCCCTACCTTCACTTTTAACTTCTGCTGTAGCCAAAACCCTAAAAGGATCTGTATTACTCAGAATATGCATGTACAATATACACAACTCCTCAGTCCTGGCCACAACATGATTTTGGAAAGCTTATGCAGAGCCCGTGTGAGTCATCAATCACATAGGGGAAGGTTGGTTCAACCATCAGCCCTTAGCTACTGCCTCAATGAGCCCCATGCTTTATCATCTCAGAATGAAGCTGCCGTGAACGCACGCTTCATTTTATTGCTCAGTGTAACCCGTCTAGATAAATTTAACTTCTTATAGATTTGCTTCCGCTTAGTATTCATATCTTCCCCAGACTTTTCATTAATATTATGATACTTGAATAGGAGTGTTCCCCTCCCTTCCCTTTATAATCTAACAGCTTTGAATTGACATTCAGTGAATTTATCATCATTGCTGTTTAAATTAGGTCAATGTTTTTATTTCATTATGCTGGAAGTCTTTGTAGCAGCAAAATCAAGCTTGAATGTGTTTTACCTGAAGCAACACTTCCAGCAAATATTTCTTAGAGGTTTCTACAAACCAGGAATTGCCAGGCCGTTTTCCTAGTCCCATCCCTGATTTCCATTTGGTTTGGTTCGTGTAACCATTTAGTGTATTTTTATTAAGGAGTAGTTGAAAAGTGTAAAAGAGGAAATGGTTAACAGTCTGCCCTCAAGGGGCTTTTGATGGAGGGAAACAGGAAAGAGGAGACAGAGAAACAAACAGTTTGTGGTTTTTGCTCCACTGAGTTCTGTCTAAGTGTACTGGAAATGTGG